TGGCAACCAGTTCTAGTAGGAGACCTGCACGCGACATTCTAGGAACGGATGTTCCGGTAACTTATACGCAGTGTTGGGTAAAGTACATCTAAGAAGTACTTTGAGTAAAGTACAAAGTAATTGAGAGGTTAGGTACTTCAAGTAAATTAGTAAGTGCACTGTGCGCAATGTACTTGAAGCAAAGTCTACAACACAATGTTCCATCGTGCCCTTTCATTCCCCTCTGCTGTGTTCTTTTAAACTGGTGTGCATTGTCTCAGGGATACTAGGACGAGCATCGGTTATCTTTGTAAATGGCGGCGAATATTGGATAAAGTCAAGTGGTCACAGAGTAGTTGTTTTACTCTCGCTGACGAGCCATTTGACAAACCAACTCATAAGGCACTTACTTGTCTCGGTATTTTAGCCGCCATACTTTATTCGGAGAAATGACCAGATGAGCGATGTGCCGTCTGCTCGCGTTTCTAGTGAGAGCAGAATGCCCTGCCCAGCTCACTACTTCAGAGTTGAGAAAGCATCATTTTGTGATGCAAATTTAACAAGATAATATTTGGGGATTGTACACTGAAGTCGGGAGTTGTACTCTCGTCGCAAAGCACCAGGAAAATAGTTTAGGTAAAGTTGAAGTACAGTCGGGGACAAAAGTCTCCAGGACACGCGAGCTGCGACTGAAACGCATTGCTCTGCCATCTGCCGGTGGGTCGCCTGGTTTCGAGATCACAGAAAAGCGCATGCGCGTCCTACTGTGCCTGCCAACATGTGAGCTTTCCCGCTGTTCTGCGACGCGGCGCCTAACTCGGAATCGGGCGCGTGGTACCGCCTCGGAGATAGCGCTTACTGACATGGCACCTATCAAGCAAGAAGTCACGGCATCTCAACTGAGCGATAAGCTCAACTGGTTTTAAAGCAAGGTGCGCTGACACGGCGAAATGCGGCGCAATGCCCCAGGCGGTATCTCGAGTTTCGGAATGTGTCGCAGACGCTCGTCAGCTGCCAGCGCTATCTTCGAGGCGGTACCACGCGCTCGATTCTGAGTTAGGCACTGTGCCGCAGAAGAGCGGGAAAACAGACATGTTTGCAGGCAGAGTAGGACGCGCATGCGCTTTTGTGTGATCTCGAAACCAGGCCACCCGCCGGCAGATGGCAGAGCGATGCGTTCCGGCCGCAGCTCGCACGTCCTGGAGACTTTTGTCCCCGACTGTACATCCTGAGAAAACATACTTCAAGTAAAGTATACATTCTCTAAACCTACTTGAAGTATTGAGTACAATGTACTTAGAGTTTCACCTTCAAAACATGGTTTTCGCAAATCACTGTCCTGCGAAACTCATCTTCTAGCTTTCACCGATGACCTACTTTCCATTCTTTACTGTAAATCCCGGGATGACTGCGTCTTCCTTCACTTTTGTAACGCGTTGAACAACGTTTCTCACAAACTCCTATTGTTTAAACTTAGTAAACTTAAACTAGACCCCAATGTTCAGACATGGGTTAAATGTTTTCTAACTGATCGTTCGCAGTTTAATAATACCGATAAAGCTAATTCATGCATCAGCCCTATTACTTCTGGTGTTCCACAAGGGTCCGCTCTAGGCTTTCTCGCATTTCTTATTTATATTATTGACATACCAATGTGTGTATCCTCATACATTAGTTTATTTACCGACGACTGTGTAATCTACCGTGAAATTACTAGCGACTCTGATTTGGTACCGCACTTCTTCAAAGTGACTTTTGAGCGGTATCAGAATGGTGTAACGTGCTGCAAACGTATCTTCATACTAATAATTGCAAAGCTACGAAGGTGTCTCGGAGAAAACGTGTGCCCATAATTATACTCAATTTGTAACACTCCTCGGCAGTTTTTGTCTTCTTATAAATATCTTGTTCGAGATATTACTCCTAACATGTCGGAAAGCTCATACTTATCACATCATCGCCGATACTAATTCTATGCTTGGATATCTATAAAGAAACTTCTCTTCAGCCCCAATGTCCTTAGAACTAATTTTATGCAAATCACTAGTTCGCTCGAAACTCGAGTGTGCAGCAGCAATCTGGTCAAACGACGCTCGTAAATAACATCGAAGTCATGCAAAATCATGCAGTACGTCTCATATTCTGTAACTATTATCACACAGCTAGTGTCTCATCAATGCAAACCTCTCTATCCCTTCCTCCTTTTTCACTAGGTCAAAAAATATCACGTCTATTCCATTGTTCGTCAGCCTAGCACCTCGATGAAGGGCACACTATTTTGCAACCCATCTTTTGTTGCGCAGTGAGTCGATCATCACCTTAAAGTAGGCATACGTCATTGCAAAACCTCAGCGCACATTCAGTCCTTCATTCCTAGAACGTCCTCTGATTGAAACGACCTTCTTGCATTTTCAGCTGTAGTGCATTGTTGGCCTTTGTTACTTTTGTACATGTGTCATTGTTTATGTTGTTTTTACCCACACCCCTCCGTAATGTACTTTGGGCCCTGAGGGTATTGAAATAAATAAACAAATACCTAAAGTACTTCTCGACACTGCTTATACGTACCGTACGAAAGCGGTGCTGTGTGAACCAGCTCTTCGACAACGTGTCCTAGATAACAAGGTCGTCATGTCGGTTTTCTATTACCGGAGGCCAGCACGGGACGCAGAAGGGAAACAAGTGCTGTGTCAGCGCTTGGCTTGAACTCGTCTCCTGACTAACCGAATAAAAGTCCCAGCCAAGTACTGAGGCAACACTAGTGTTCGGCAGACTTCTGCCCGTTACTCCAAAAAAAGTAATTAATTACAATTACATTTACTTGGCCTGAAAAGTAGTGGATTACCGTTACAAATTACGCCCCGTAAAAAGTGATTGAATAGATACTTCGTTACTTTACTCAATTACTTTCGCGTTACTTTAAAGAAACACGCACAATACCTGCAATATCTACTGCGTGTTTGTGGGGGTAGTTTCGGGCCCCATCAAAAATAAAACAGATACAGTACTATATCTACCGGTTATTTTAGGATAATAATTTTACGAGGATGGATCTATAAAGCTGTAAAAAACCGGAACAGGTTCGATATAAACGAATCTAGCGCTGTCCACCCGGGACAGAACTGAATCCCATGAACATGCGACGAATGCACATGGGTGCGGAGGCACGCACACCATTCGAGACATGGCATCGGCAAACTTTAGGACGCGACTCTCCTAAAGATGTGGTTTTTCTATGGTTGCTGCATATTGCTTAAAAAGGGGCTGGTTTAGCCACTAAAACCAACTGGCTGTGAGACCTACATGGGGTACTTGCGTTTGGGCAGATTTCAAGGAGTCCCGTTTTGAAGGTTGTTATCCGGTTTTGACCCACTTGATCTTTTTTTGTTTGATCATCGAACTAATCAAAACCGAAGCTTCACACTAAATCTTAATTCACAACTTTTCAGCTAAGTTGATTTTTCCGTTTAGAAATTATTAAAAAAAAAATACCATTGTCAGTGAACAGCAGGCTTCAATGTATCTCACGCGTTTACGGCCGCCTTACGCTACCTTAACTCTTGTGTCCAAGTCAGCCACTGTTTATTCTCAGAAAACTCGGGCTGTGTTCCCTTTCCCTAAAATGTCGGACTAAGTTCCCGTAGGCACAATCCGCTGACGAGAACCCCAACATTCTCGTTTCTAGGATAATGGGTTCAGCGTCGAAGTCCCAAGCCGTTTTGGCTGTGCTCTCCGGCCACCTTATCGCCTGCTGTCGAAAGTTACTGTTTGAACTGACATAGTGTTGATGCTACATTTTTTTTCCTGTTGCAATGAGCTGCTGCCATCGCTTCCCTTGTTTTTGTGCCTTACGCATTCGCTAGTGCGACGTGAAGAGACAGAAGCCACCAAGCTGGCTGGTCCAGCCAGTATTTAGCTTTCATAGCGCTGTAAAAGATGAACAAGGTCAAAATCTCGTTACAGTTTTTTTTTTTTTTTTTGTGTCTGCGGGGTTGGTGTGTGTAGGCAGAACAGCGACAAGCAAAGGACGGTCTCGTGTGACAAAAAAAAAAAATGCTGATTGGTTTTTTTGGGCATAACACGAAGGGGGTAGGGCGGAAAAGAGGGGGGGGGGGGGGGAGCGAGCGGACATATGCACCATGGTCACAGTGTCCACGTTCGTACTCCTCACGACCCCCACGCGACAGTTTTATGGGCCATTAGTTTACTGCTCTTTTGTGCGCTCGATGCAGTCCGTTCGTTTTCCAAGTCGAAGTTTTTTGCCTTCATGTAGAGTAGACAGTCGAATGCTCCCAGCCTGGCTGACCATACGAACAAGTCCAAAAAAAGGGGCTGTGGCTGGGCTGTCGCGGTTTCCGTGAATTCCTTTCCCTCGCCAGCACTCTCTTCGCGAGCGAACCCCCGTCGTGTGTTACCGTGCTAAGAGCGCGAAGGCCCGTTTCATCGCCCTTCTTCCACTCCATTTTTCCCTTTGACGGGGCGGAAAAATTGTAACGAGTAATTTTAGTAACACGTTACTGTAAAAGTAATGAAATTAGATTACAAATTACATTCTCAAAAAAGTAACAGATTAATTACAAAATTACTGGAAAAGTAATTAATTACAAGTAATTTTGTTGCTTGTAACGGATTACTTCCAAGTCTGGTGTTCGGCCCCCGAGCTGGCCTCCGTCACGTGAACTAAGTCCGGCCCTACGGTCTCCTTTGGGGGGAGGCGTAGCGCGAAGCCACGGTCACATTGCTCGTACAACCTAGAAAAGACACGGTGTTTGCTGCAGACACGACGAACGAATGATCTCCGGACACGTCTCACGTATGTTCGAAGCCCATTTGCTTCGCACGCACGTGAACATGTCTGCAGACAGCACCGTCACACTGCTAAGAAGAAACTTGGACAATCTGCGGGCTGTCTTTTGTATGATGTGTGAGCAGTGACCGCGGCTTAAGGATCGCTCCTTGCAGAAAAACAGTGCAGCACCATTCCCCACATCGCGCAATTCAACGGGCGTTGGCGCACTGGCCTGCACGGACACGAGCAGACCGGCGAGCAGGAGCTGCGACTTGGGGCTGGTGTAGCGCAGGCGGCAGGGCTGCTGGCCGCCGAAGATGCGCGCCGTCCGGATGGTCTTGCAGAGAAGCGCGGCGTAGCAGATGGCGTAGCAGAATCCCAGGAAGAAGCGGGTGAGGGCGCAGCTCCAGGGCGACGGCTTGGCCACGATGACCGGCGTGAGGGCGAAGGACAGCAGGATGCCCAGCAGGAGCAGGGAGCTCAGCTCGCGGCCGGACGCCTTCACGACCGGCGTGCCGGAGTAGGCGCGGAACACGAGGGCCACGAAGGCCACCGAGGCGGCGCCCAGGGCGGCCACGGCGAGCGCGGCCACGGCCCAAGGGTCGCCGTAGCTCAGGAACTCCTCCGGCAGCGGCAGGCAGCGGGCCTTAGACTCAGGGTCCGGGACCGTGCCCAGCGGGCACTCGCGGCAGTGGAACTCGTCCGCTAGAATCTGAGAAAGGAGGGGGTTGTTGGACATTGTTACGACCGCGACTTGTCGTTAGAGGGTGGCCAGACCAGGGAGCCAAAGCCTGACCGGTCGTGCCTCGGCAAAGCTACCCGCGATCGGTATCACCCAGAAGGAAACAGACAAGAGTCGACAACAGCTCGCGGGACCATACTGCACGGGCATTCAGTTTTGGTGGCGGTGGCTACTCCCAACAGAGGGCTAGCAAAGCTACGTCTGGTTTCGCTTGGATCGTCTGGCGGGTCGTGCCAAAACTTTCCTCCCGAGAGTCAGCCCGCTAGCTGACTGTCATCTCAGCGACGGGCGTCTTCTTGAAGGCTGTCCAAACAGGGCACTTCAAAAATTGCAAGGCGGCACAACTCCGCCATATGAAGTGGAAGTTGAAGTCCGGCAGTACGTTTACTGCTTGGGCACCACCAGGAAAAAATCACGACCTTCCTCCTCGCCTCCTCCGCTTTTCTTTTACATCGGTGCTCGTCAGACCTGACGTCACACACCTCCTGCCAGTGGTGTGCCTATTGCCTGTATATTCGTTCAACCGCAACTCGAGTGAAGAGCCTTCGCCTCCTCGCCCTCGCGTCTTTCTCTTTTCCGTTTTCGGCACTTGAACAGCAGCGGAAGACTTGAGCGTTCGACTGACAGCCAATAGAGCGTCTGTCCGGCTATCCGGACCCACGTGATAAGCATGATCAAGGCCCCCGTGAAGGACACAAGAAAACTTTGACGAACAAAAACATTCTCCTCCAGAAAATAATAATAATAATAATAACGGACAGAAGCTGGCCGCCGCGAGACATATGACGGAGTAGTGTCGCCTCACGATTTCTGAAGTATTCTCTTTGGACACCGGTCGAAAACGCCGGTCTCAGAAGTAGGTCTTCCCCATTAGTCACCTTGGGGATAAGGGGTAACTGAGAGAGGGGAGGATCGAGTCGCCTCTTGTGCCATCTAGCTAGTATAACTACACTGTAAACGAAAAGTAGCCCGGATGGGGGTTTTAAAGAATAAGATACCGATTAAACTCCCAAGCCTAAAGCATTCACTCCCGCACATGGGAGTATAAAAACTAGAAACCACCACTTTACTCTGGTCGCTAAGAGACGAGGTATAAAAGCGACAACACCTGATTTCACTCCCATTTTAAACTGGAGTTCTCGTATGACAACCCTCCGCAAGACGAAATGGGAGTTGAAAATACTCCCATCCGTCCACCCGTCTGCGGGAGATCGGCCGCCATTGACGCAGCCGGCGTTTCCCCCGTCCCGCTCAGTCCCGGCTCTGGCACCAACGGGTTTCCCGTCGTGGAAGAGGTCGTTATAATGGGTCCAAGACGTTTTGGGGCTGGTTTTTGTACAAAATCCCGACGCTCTCGAACAACAAATATTACACCAGTGAAAAACCAATCACAAAGTACGAACTTTTCGGTCAATCTGGCGAATACTCAAAAGTTGAGGGTACTATGGGGAAGCAGAAGACAATCCAGCTCTTTTCGGGCAGACTCAAGTATAGTGCAACCATTGTGTGTTGTTTAAAGGCCCTTTCACACGATGCATTTTTCTGGCGCATCTTGACTCGCGAAACGAGTTTCGTGAAATGAATGCGCCGTCTGAACAGGACCGAAAAATGCGCGTCTGCATCTCCCTGGGTTTTCACGAAAAACACAGCCAACGGCCTCTCGAGAAAGCTTTCACGCGATCTCAAAAGGATAAGCGAGCCGTTCGCGGGGCCCAGTGGCGGATTAAGAGGGGGAAGGGGGGGGGGGGGGGGGATGGGGAGGTTTGTCTAGATGTTCTGACTAGGGGTGTCGCGAACCGGCCGAGGTTCGAGTTCGACCTGGTTCGACTTTTTCGAACTTTTCGTGGAAATTTCGACGAACCTTGTATTGAGGTTCGACTCGTGTGCGCATGCGCGACAGGCTGGCCAGTTGGCTTCGGATTGGATGGTAATGGCTAATGGATAAATTAAGGGCACCGCTGGTTGGTTATTTCAGTTAATACAGTACAAACAAAATTAAGTTATTAATGTCTTTAGTGATTAGAAGTGGTTTCTTTTAATTCCAACTGTTCATAAAATAAAATAACCATTTGCATAAAAATAAATTCTCCAAACCTAGACATGCGTCTATCAAGGTCTGGCCACACTGTCCGCAAAGTCGAACCGGTCGAATCTGGTAAAAAGTTTCGAAGGTTCGTCGAACCGGTTCGACTTAGTCGAACCCCGAAAGTTCGACCTAAAAATCTTGTTCGACAAAAGTTCGCGACACCCCTAGTTCTGACTACCTCTTGATTTGTGCATGTGTAAAAATTTAGGGCGGGAAAACAAAGGGAAAGGGTGGGGGGGAGGGGGGTTTCAAAAGACATCTGATACGCTAACCTCCCCTCTCTGGAAATACCGGCGTCGGTACCTGGCGGGGCCAGATTTCTTCCCGATTCCAAGCCACAGCAGAAAAAAAAAAAGTAAATAAACACGGCGCGATCCACGGATGGATACGTAGGTTGCGTTTTCTTGGTCCATACGAGTTCGGGTGCGCACAGGTCGGTGGCGCGTGGCAGCTTTCTCAATTTTTGTGCACTCGTAGCGACGAGCGCGAACATTGCACGTCGCCGCCAAGAATGCTCTATTCGCGTCGTCAACGAGCCCGGAGAGCGCTGCCCGACGGCGGTGACTACCCAGAAGCCCACGCGCGAGCGCCCCATTCGGGAATTCGGGGCAGCTGGGGCCAGTGTGGTGCTCGAGGCGCTCACTTCTGCGATCTGAACTTGCCGTTCGTGCCGCGTGTCGTCTGCTGTACACGTTTTTCCGTGCTGGTGTGCATTTTTAACGTTCGTGCGCTCGACTGGGCGATTGTGCGCGTGGACGTGGACTGCTCCGAGGATGTGCTACCGCCGTTAGGCCTATCCGTTAACGAGCCCGGGCCCATAGGCCTAACAGCCGGTGGTGGTGGTGGTGGGGTGCCGGCGAAAGCGGGAAGCTCCATGACGCGTCAAAGGTAGAGTTAATTAGAATTAAGGATGACCTCATGTGTGTGCTATATTTTATCATGTGCTAGTTGTACGTTAAGGCAGCCGTTCCCGGTCGAAACAAGCGCCATCGAATGTACGAGAACGGAATTCGGGGCAGCTGGGGCCAGTGTGGTGCTCGAGGCGCTCATTTCTGCGATCTGAACCTGCCGTTCGTGCCGCGTGTCGTCTGCTGTACACGTTTTTCCGTGCTGGTGTGCATTTTTAACGTTTGTGCGCTCGACTGGGCGATTGTGCGCGTGGACGTGGACTGCTCCGAGGATGTGCTACCGCCGTTAGGCCTATCCGTTAACGAGCCCGGGCCCATAGGCCTAACAGCCGGTGGTGGTGGTGGTGGGGTGCCGGCGAAAGCGGGAAGCTCCATGACGCGTCAAAGGTAGAGTTAATTAGAATTAAGGATGACCTCATGTGTGTGCTATATTTTATCATGTGCTAGTCGTATATGGCAGCCGTTCCCGGTCGAAACAAGCGCCATCGAATGTACGGGAACGGTCAACCCAATGAAACATTTCAAAGGGCCCATGAAACGATTTTTGGGTTGGGATAAATCATTTTAGATTGGGATTTTACTAATAGCACATTGTTCAGTGGACCAAAAGAAAAAAGGTAGAAAGTCAAAAGCCTGACTTTCAGTGCGAAAATTTGAAAACAGAGCGGACTATTTCGTACCTCCTCCCCTTCGCGACCTCTCTGCCTTTTCACTGTGATACATCCGCGGTCCCAAAAGCGCATCATCGGGTCCAAACTGACGTCACACGCAACCGGACCTCACTTATTCCCTTCACCCCTAAGCTGACATTGTGGTGGAAGCTACACGCTTGCCGGACCAATCAGCCGCCTCCCTTTCATCACCTGACTTCATTCTCTGCAGCCACATTTGCCACGCTCACGTGGCAAGTGTGGCTGGCCCAACGATTACGTAGCTTCAACAGCACTGTCAGCTTCGGAATGAACGGGGTGGGGAAAGCAACTTTTGTCTGAATTTTGAGCGACGGGCTAATCTTCTAGGGGGAGAATGGATGTGTCCGGATTACACAAACGACAGTGCGAGAAAGAGGGGTCTCCCCTTTTTCGTCTTGTTTAACTCTTTTGGTGGAATGCGCGATTTATGAGTTGAGGAGGAAAGCTAAACAGGAAAAAGTTGGAAAAGCGTTTCATGACCCCTTTAACCAAGCCGGCCAGAAATTTTCATCTGGAGTGTCTCGGCTAGGTAAACGATAGTAGCGGTACGCGATGAAAGTGGGACTGAATTTTTGCATTGTTTGTAAAGGTTCTGTGAAATGCGCTGCAATTTCAAACGCGTACGTTGTGTAATTAGGCTTCGTCCGCTTTCTTCGGTGTCAGTTTCTTGACTCGGCGAACAGACTGGCCATCTGTCAGAAAGAGGTCGCTGTGGAATATCGATTTCATCGAAGCATTCCGGCGGAATCACAAGAGTCGCTTGACACCACTCCGGAAAATCTGCCAAGCAGCTAGTTTCGACAAACCCGATAGTGTGATTTGTGTTTTGTCACATTTGTGTGAGATTTTGGAGAAAATAAATGCTGGTCTGCATTCGTTATCCCCCAACATTTGTTTGTTTTCGGTCTGCTAACCACTACCCCGAATCGTTGTTTTGAAGCGGGTCCAAACCACGGGAACGAAAAGGTACCGACTGGGAATCCGACATACGGTACGTGTAAATACGACGCGGTTGCCGCGAAGACACGCATGCTCAAGGTGGCAGCTCGTCGGGGTGCGCTGGTTGGCCGCGCTGATAAACCAGACAGTGGCGTAGCCAGGTCGTGTTCAAGGGTCGAAACACCTTCGAAATTGCATGGTTTTCCTCTTTCTCCCCTTTCCCTTTTCCATTGTCAGCTTCTTTTTTTGTTCTTTTTTTTTCTTGTTTTGTGAAGGCATTAAAAGTCCTATGTGCTTCTCTTTCTGTTCGACAACCCACTACGGCGAGGGGCCGGAACATTCCAA